ATATATACACACACACATACACACACACACAAGACATCATTTGGATCTTCTAACTATTCCACTTTTTTATAAAGTACTATATGTTGTTCTTTCCACTCTCTTCCTGTTTTTCTCCTATCAGAAATGATCCTGAAAATGTACATAAAGTATCAGTTACTTAGAGTAGTACTAAGAAGCAAAAATGGTCCGGCATCTTGAAAACTATACCGCATGGGCTTGCAGTACATTCACAGCAGCCTTATAAATATCTGTGTATAACCAGCCATTCTCTTTTGAACTTTTCAAAGTAAAAATTCAAATACCAGGTAGTTAACTTACAGACATATTGCAAAAGGAATGAATACTTAGAGGTTAGGCTGCAGTGGAATGCCATGGAATATGTATGTAAATTCCAGAGAGCCCCCTCTAAACTGAGCTAGAACAACAAAGATGCCCCTTTTCCTCTCCTTTACTCCCCTGTATATTGTCTTGTGTTCATTTGTCACTTTCACTCTTTCTCATTTTTTAAGTTACAGACTTCATGATATGTGGAACACCCAGTTAGGGTTTCTCAGACTTAACACTACTGACCATTTTGTGTTGGGGTAACTCTTGTTGCGGGAGCTGTTCTGTTCATTGTTGGGTGTTAGCAGCACCCTGGATCTCTACCTGCTAGATGCTGGCAGCAACCATCTCCCCTAGTTGTGACACCCAGAAATATCGCCAGAGATTGCCATGTGTCTGGTTGTGGGGGTGAGTGGCAAAGTGGGCCCACCCTGGGTGAAACCAGTGTTCTAGGCATAGAGCAGTTGGTGATCAGGTGATCATCACATTTCAACATTTTTGATCAAAGTCACCATGGCAGTAAGTCTCAAAAAGAACCAAATGAGCATTAACAAGTACATTTTTTCTTTAATTGTTCAGCTAAAAACAAGTTTACATTGACAGTCTTACCACCTTTTTCTCAATTGTTACATTTCCAGTAATAATTTTATTATGATCCGATTATCCTAGCCAGATAAAATTATAGCCTGAGCAAGTGTTAGATTTAGATTTAGATAGATTTTAGCTATCAGTGGTTTTTGCATGGGATGAGATAAAAATATAATTCTGTGATACAATCCTTCTCTCAAATTTTCTTACAAAAGAAAAGAAGGAGATGGCATTTGCATTGGATTCTGATTATATGTTAAGACAGATGGAGGAATAATGAATATTCCAAGCCAAACATACTTAATGTTTTATTTTGATTAAGCAAACTCTCAAGAGCTTAGATGTTCATTGCAAAAGTCTGACCTGTATACCCTTCTAATTTGCATTACTTCTTTCCTTCAGGCGCAGGGGCAGAGCCAGGGGCAGCCACCCTCAAGCAGTTTAACAGGGGTTCCATCTTCCCAACCCATACAGCACCCTCAGCAGGTGAGGGCAGTGCATTACTTCACC